CCCCAAAACCCCAAAACCCCAAAACCCCAATTTATTTTAGAGATATTGAAACTTAAAGGAAGCAAATATTTATTGAGAGATTTTTGAGGAAACTTTTGTACATTTCTATTCAGATTCGAGATAATAAGATTTTTATGATTGAATGTTTCATAATGTGATCTGTATTTAGTCGATCGTAGTTTCGTTGAGAAAGTTTGGTAGTAATTAATGGCAGAATCTTAATAAAGTAATTAAAAGTAGTATTTTCAATAGAAAGATGCTAACGTATAGGAAGTATGCGTCATTTTAGAAAGGAATTAAGTAATAGTGCTATTAAGATTAATAACCAACTTACAAATCTATATTTTATTGCTTTATAGAGTAAACTAAAAGAAGATATTTATGACTAAAGTCTTTCTATATAAACACTTATTCCTCCTCTCAATTTTGACCTATCCTCAATCCAGCTCCTTAAGAACTCCCTTGAGATATCCCAAATCCTCTCTAAACCCTCCAAAAATCCCTAAAACCCAACCTCTTAACACCAAACCCACCCCAAAATTACTACTTAACCCAAAAACATTTCCCCTAAAATGATCATAAATCCAAATATTAAAAGATTTTCAAACTCCTTAGCCTATAAATCAACTTCCCAAAATCAAAATTTCAAAATCCAAAAACCTCAGCATACACAAATGTTCGATATAAATTCTATTTATGAAAACCTAGCCAAACAGAAGGACGCAGAGCTCCAAGATGAGATCAAAGTGGTAAGTTTTTTAAGTAGAATTAGCCTAATTTTACCCTATAGCTGAAGAAGACAGTTAATAGTTGTTACAAGTACTTTACAGAGATGGATAAGAAGTTCCATGAAGCGTTTGTTAATAGTGAGAATGAAGAGTTGAGGAGACTAGAAGCACAGCTTTCAGGTTTTACGCAGTGTGTGAGTGGTAAGAGTCAGGAGAGAGGGAGGAAGGAGCCAGGAACGAGGAGAAGGAGATCTAGCTCGAAGGGAAAGAGGAGACCGAAGTTACAGAAGATTGAGGGAGTTCAGACACCCAGTAGTCCGTTCTTTGAGTTTGTTAATGATAATAGGCCAAAGATGATGGAGGAAGACCCTACTTTGTCTGCACCTGCGATTTTGAAGGAGTTAGGAAAGCAATGGAAAACTCTTTCTCAGGAGCAAAAGGAGTACTACAGTAAGAAACATGCTGGAATAAAAGAGGCATATCTTTCTGCTAAGGCAAATCTCCCTGAAGGCCAAGATACTGAAATGGCTGATCTTTCTCAAGCTTCTGCTTCTCTGAGTTACAACTATACCCCTCTGAATGCCCAAATGCAATATTCTCCAGACCTAGTAACCCAGTTGCATTCATCTCACCCTCTAGGCCCTACTTATAAAAATACTCATTAATTTTACTATTTTTGAAGTTTAAAAATATCTTTTGTAAGACTTTTTGAATTAAAACTGGAACTTTGGTTAGAAATTTTCTAGCTCATTTAACAAATAAGAAGACTTTTTGTGAAACTTCAGATTAAACAATAACTAGACAGAGAGAAAAATTATTTTAGTAAAAGGTATAGAGATAAGTTACTCCTCTGATGTTGTTAACACAACTCCAATTTTGATCATATTGAAAAATTATATATTTTAAACTCTCAAACAAACGAGAAATATAAAAATCATTTGAGAGAAAGTCATGTTTGTATCTAAAGCCAACTCCGGAAATATGTTACCAAACTTACTTCAATGTTTATTCAATGTAACAAAGAGAATGGAAATTTTTTCTTTAAAAGATGTGAGGTTGAGTTAGAGGACTAGAACCTGGATTAATCCCCACTAATCCCATGTAAAAATACCAATGAGGCTTTGGCACTCAGCAATAATATGCGTTTAATATGGCAATGGGTCCTGCTATTAAAAGACTTACAAAGAATTTAGCCTTAATTCAACTTGATTATGCATATCAAAGGGAGCTCTTTGCTGGGAAAGCAAGAAATAGATGTTTAATACAGAAATCCTGTAAATATTAGGTAAAGCCATTTTGCTTGACCTAGTTTGAGTATAGGGATTCAATAATGAAGGTATCAACCATGAGAATGGAATAAGAATTTCAGTTGGCAAGATTAGATAAATCAACATTATAACTGTTGAGGATTCTGATTTTTAAGTGACCAAAGTCTTTTAAGAAAGCGTCAAAAATGTGAATTTTTCTCTGGAAAAATTTGGCAACTTCAAGATCATTCCCGTCGATAGACTAGGTAATTTAGATTTCCTCCATAGTTGATAAAAATGCTTAAAGTAAAGTTACTTTAAATAAAGCTGTCCTCCAATGAGTCACTTTATAATCTCTTTAAGTATCTTTCAATATGTTATAAACTTAAAGGGGTTTTGGGGTTTTGGGGTTTTGGGG